ATCATCATTTTTATAAATTCATTGAAATAAATTTATCATGAGTATTTTGAAATGACATTAAAAATTTGTATTATATTAAACATTTAATATAATATTATTAGCAATAAAATGTTTTAATATAAAATTTATTTTATATTAAAACATTTATTGCTAAAAAAAATTCTGTGGTTTAAAGGAAAAATCTGTTAAGTTGAAAAAACATATTTCGATTAAAGTTCAATTATTTGATTCCTATTTAAATGGTATAGATTTATTTTTAAAAATTAGTGACTATTGAAATAAAAGGACGCAATACTTCATTGGTAACAATAAATGCGAAAATTAAAACTCGTAATCGGATTTATGTATGTATAATTGTTGCGGTATAAGGTACTATCTACATTCGTGATGTGCAAATCATGATGTTACAAATGGAACGGTAAATTTAAAATATACTTCGAACATATTTCGCATGTTGATTTAACAAAGATTTTCTATATAACTATAGTTTTAAATAGATTTTGCTTATAGCCACAGAATTTTACACATATGCCTCTAGTTGCATATTCGTTATATGCATTATAAATACAAAATATATGTAATGCAAATAGGTTTAAATGCAATGTTAAGTGTATGTGCGCTTCCATATACTTTATGTATGTCAAGTTGATTAATAACCATTTTAAAGATTTATTATATGACTCAAGATAATTTTGATCTTGAAAATGTACAAATTTTATGCAAAAATTAATGTAAGATGATTTGAAATCATAAATATTGTAATATTTCCAAAAAAAAAATTATTTTAATAATCTATTTGTAAATATAATTCTGTGAGTAAAGACTTTTATTATTGAATCTTTTACAAAAAAAAAAAATTAAAAAAATACTTTCCTTGTAATTTATTCGTCAATTTTCTATTTTAATATTTTTTGTTTGTTTTTGATATTTAGAGCTGATTGTAATGTTTATCCACTGTCAAATTATCAGATATTTTTTTAATTTGAAATTCATAAATAGCATTTTTTATGTACACATACTAAGTATGTACACATTTTTAAAAATTACATATTTACTTTTTCTACCATTGTTTTTGTGAACAATTTGTAAATATTGTACAAAAACTTAAACTGTATATTTTTTATCTATAATTTTGAATATAATAATTGTTATAAAAAATAAATTCATATATAATGAAAACTGAAGATGAAATTAACTTTGTTTGAATTTTATTTTTTTTGCATAATATTTATATTTTGATTCACAATATTTATAATCTTTTATATTAAGATGGATGACAAGTTTTTGATATTGTGTTGATAAAGCAAGCAGGTTTATTATATTATTTTATTTTTCTTTTATTTTAAAATTATACCCAGAAATCAAAAGTAGTGAGATGTGCATGTGTATATATGGTAAGAAAATTAAAAAAAGAAAAGAAAAATTACGCACGTAATCAAAAATATGAGAATATAGAGTGTGGGTGTACAGGTGAATTTAATTCCTTATACGAAAAATATATTTAAAATATATGAAATTTATTTCTAGATGAAAGTTTTTATTAATAAAAAAAATTGTTTTTTTTTCTTTGTGAACAAAAATTATAAATTTTACTAGTTTTGACAATAAATTTGGTTAACTGCGTTATTGTACGTGTTTCAAAATTTTTTTTTTAATTTTACATCCACTTGAATCGTATACTCATTTAAATTCGCAACTTTGAAAAATTACTGCATTTGTTAAAAAATTGCGGCAACTCTTAAGATAATATAAGAGAAATACGTATATACATACCTACATAATTATATGGAAAATTAAATTGCATTGTGATTTTGTAAGTGCAATTAAATGGAAACAAAGAAAACTTTTTGCTACATTGAATTGATATTTTGAAAATATTTTACTAAAAATGTATATATATGTATGCATATTAATTAGTTTCTAATATATGTATATACATTTGTGTATTACATAATGTAATATATACACTGGTTGAAAATCACGAATGTATAAAATAAGGTCCTTATTGGTGCAAATTTACTGTGTATATGGTCAAACACTGGTTAACATTTACAAGTTTTTGCAAAATTGAATAATACAAAATGCAAAACAGCACACGAACGTATGTTGTACTATTTTATTAAGATTTGTATATGTATATTAGACAGCTTATTATAGGATATAATAAATAATAAAATATTAGATATAAGCAAGTAAAACTTCCATTTTTACATACAAATATACATATATGGGTAAAATGTCCGGTAAAATTAATTAAACATGCTAAATAAATTAAACTTTATATTAAATATTAATTAATAAAATAAATGCTAAATTATTTAAACATTGTATATGTAGATATGTACATATATAATAGTACATTTACATATTCCTACTGTCTATTACATAATATTTCTACAAATTAATTTTCAAAAATTGAAATAAAAACAATCACATTTTTTATTATCAATTTTGTATTATAATTTATCAAGGTTTTTTTGAATGTTTAGAGATGCTATACGCCTACCGAATATTATAAAGCTATAAAAGGAGAATTAATACCGTTTAATCCATTATTCATAATAATATAATGGTATATTTAAATAGATACATAAACATTTGTACATACATGGAATAATTTTACGAAACAGAACAAAATATCATTGTAGTCCAACCACATATGTAGATATGTATGTATATCTAATTAACGAAATTTTTGTATTCAAAATGAATTGAAAAAAAAAATTCAAAATCTTGGAAATTCCAAATTCATCTTATAAATTTGTAAAATGATTTTGAAAATATTAAAATTATTGATTTTTTCTAAATAATTCCTCATTGCAAAAGATTTGTTTTCATAAGAAAAAATTTTAAATTATATTTCTATATGTATTAATAATAAATTTTTAATAGGCTGCACCGGCACAAAACCACTAATACCTATATAAAATACAATTACTTACATACAAATATATATACATAATATATGAATAAATATATTATTACTAAAAAATGGGTTATTACTAAATAATTTTGTGGATTTTCCATAAATTTATTTATTTTTGTATGTATCGTACGCATGTACATATGGATGTACATATGTATAGTGTAATTGCATTATAATTTACCTCATGGGAAATATTTTGGAAATTTTAGCATTTAAAAATGTTGGTACAAAATTGAAAAAAAAAATGTGTTACATGGACGGTCGTAATACTCAAAAAGACAAAACAAAAAAATTAAATAAAATTGCGATGTTACAGTAAAAATTTAATTGATGGTTGTTGTTATCTAACGGTTGTGGATGCAATAATTGCGGAAGTATTACAAAATAATAATTTTTTTTATTAATTATTATGACATACATAGATTTTAGATACATTGTTGGTACCCAAATATAATGAGATTTAATCTGCATTAGGTTAATATTACAATATGTTTAATGGTTATGCATATATAATTTTATTAAAAATAATGATTTTTGCTGACTTATACATCGATTTCATTTATATGGGACGGAAACTGTAAATTATTATTTCGAACATAAACACAAGGAATGTTTTTTCTGTTTTGGTTAAAAAATGACCCTATTTACTAAAATGTTGAGCTGAATTAAACAAAAAAATTTTTAGTGTTTATTGGTTTCATAAAATTAAAAAAACATTGTATGTATACATAATAGATATACATAATAAATATTGCACTGTTACGGATGCACTTATAACTGGTGCGAAATTTAATAAACAATATGAAAAACCAACATAATGGGGCTCTAAGCCTTTGTTAAGATCTAATATTAAAAACAAAATTAAGAGAATTATTGAAAATATAGTTATAAAAGTTGTGATAATTTATATGTACATTGTATGTATATATATTCCGAAAACCTTTTGAAATATATTTATATTTCAAAAACCTTTGAATAGAAATAAGGAATTTTAAAGTTCTCAAAAAAACGGAAAAAAAGATTTCCTACAACAACATCTCCCACTTATTTTTAAATCAATTTAAAAAATATCATCTATATGCATAGTTAGTACATATGTATCGATTTCGCTATAAAAGGTATTTGATTTTGATAAGTTCGATAAACTTTTAAAATAATCACTTAAAATTATTATGCGGCAGCTGTGACAAATTTTCTTCGTGGCCCAGTTTTCAATCTTCGACAAAATGAAGAATTCCATAAAAGAAACTTCGATTTTCAGTTGACCAAACTTTGGGAAAAAAAAAATTCTAAGAAAAAAAGGTTGTTTTGATCACAAAATTAAATAAATTGTATTTAATTATAATTTTATTATTTTATTTTTAATACGTATTGATGCGAAAACATCGAAAAGCAGGTGAATTTCTTCAAAAACATGAGATTCTAAAGAATGTGATTTTTCCATTTTCCGCAATTTTTTTTCGTAATTCATTTTACCTCAAGTTTTGTTATTTTAAATACATCTTTTATTATTTTGTTTTATCATTTACTTCTTTTTTTATCAAAGACAATTACCGTTAGGGCCATAGTATGCATTTCACTATTTATGTTGTTTTACATGTTGATCAACAAGGTGAGCTGGATTAATCAAAAATTTTCTTTAACGTCATCTCAGCATTTACATTTCAAAATTGTTGTGCAACATATTCATTAAACAAAAACAATTTACATACCTCAACTCAGTTAGTCAACATGTTGAATTGCATATGAAGAAGTTAAAAAGAACAAGAAAATAACACTCTTATTTTACTAATTCTGAAAACAATTTTTTAAATTGTAAGACTTTACAATTATTTTTATATTATACTTATTATGTTGTTATGAAAAAAATTCAACCACTTCCTTATTTTGAAATTTGGTTGTAGAATAATTAACTGTCAGTTTAAATACATTTTTTTTGACAATTGAACATTAACTGTCAAAAACTTAAAAATATTTTTTGTAGCTAGTTGTTGTTACTGGCAATACTTATAATGCATCAAAATTTACTATGGCAACACAAGCCATTAACAATTTTGTTTTTTCTCCATTTGGCATTTAATTCGCTAGCGTCAACAGCGCAGGTGCGTCTAATAATTGTTTCACAAAAGTTTTTCAGCCAGCCATTGTTAAAGTTTTTGTATTGAAAATTGGAATTTTGGAAAAAACAACATATTTTAAGTAAGAATAACATAATTTTTTTATTCAAAAACTATTAACGAACAAAATTAATTAATTATATTGTATCTACTTATGTTGTAAAAGTGATTTAGCAAATTTACTTTGACCAAAGTGAACAAACTTGATCTGACGCTACTTTTAACCTTATGTAAAAATCCTATAATGTGCATCTAGCGGCAGGAAATTTAATTATATTACTTGTATTTTAAAAAATCATTCTTTTAATTTAGAAAAATAATTTCGGTTTACAATTTTCATAATAAAAGTCCTTATAAAATTATTAAGTTTGGATTTTTTAGAATTTGTACTTAAAAATTAAAGGCGTAATTAACCGCATAAAAAAAACGCAAATGAGGAATCGTTTGCAGAGCGGGAAGTTTTTTGCAATACAATCAGAAATTAATTTTGTTTTTAATATTATAAAAAAAGATCTAAATTTATTAAAAAATTTAGAATTTATTAAATAAAATGTTTATGTACATTTATGTAATAGCTTTTTTGTTCAAAATTCTTTTAGCTTGAAGTTCGAATTTATACTATTAAGATGGACCCCAATCAAAATGTTGACAGTAGTTTTGAAGAAAAGCAACAAGAAAACGATAGAATTGCAAGAGGAAATCGTCGAGGAAGAACAAGATTTTCTGATGCCGATAGCGGCTCAAAAGACCGTAGTCGAGAAAGACGGAATTGTAGAATATATGTCTCTAATATCCCATATGATTATCGTTGGCAAGAACTAAAGGATTTATTCCGAAGAATGGTCGGTAATGTTGAATATGTTGAATTATTCAAAGATGAAAACAATCAACCACGTGGATGCGGAATAATTGAGTTCAAGGACCCAGAAAATGTTCAAAAATCTTTGCAAACCATGGATCGATATGAAATTGGTGGAAGGGAGATAGTGGTCAAAGAAGATCATGGAGAAAAACGAGATCAATACGGTAGAATTGTTAAGGATGGGCATCGTGGTTCAGGCGGAGGCGGTGGTGGTGGTGACATGAGAGAACATAGAGATAAAGAAAGGTACACATTTATTTCTTTATTACATTATACAATGTTATGTTTCAGAAATACTGCCTTAATGGCAAAAAAAAATCTTTTGGAAAGTTTCACTTTACATTCTGCGAAATGGATAATACATGTATGCATTTGCTTTCATTTTATATTCGGAACTTGCTTTATCAGTGATTTAATTTGGATATACCTACTTGATTTGGTAAACAAAGTACAGTTCACTGTTTTTCAAGTTAGCTTACTTTAAGTTTTTTTTATAGTGTATATCTATTGAAATATTCTTTGTCTTATTTTTATCAAGTTGATTTTCGAAATTCTATTAATATTCTCGAATATTTGCTAAGTTTCGCAAAATAAAAAGTATTATTTTTTGGTGTACACATGCACGTATATTTAACATAATCTAACGAATTTTTGACCAAATCAGCTAATTTTCCACCAATTTTTCGTTTAAATATAAGATAAAAATTTTTCATAGTTTTGGTGAACACCTGCTTTTTACCTTGTGAGCTTTTAAAAAAATCTAAAACAAATATTTTTTCTACGAATTTGTTATCGAAACTTATCCAAGATGAATTTAAATTATGTCTGAGCAATCAAATTAAGTGATTTTGTAATGAAAAACAAAAAAGAAAGAAAAATTATGAGTAGCTGTTATGAGTAATTGAATTGTAAATTTTTTTTATGATGAATGCTTTATTCCTCCTTATTTCTCCTAACTCTAATATGTACTTTATTTTTTATTATTGTTGATCTTAACTTTTTTTTAGTGGTTGATGGCCTTTAGGAAATTGGTAAAAATTTTTTTTTTATTTTCAACCAATCAGCTTGATTAGTTAGGATATATTTACTGCTCATAGATCTTTTGTGCACACTCTGTTACACTGAAATTATTAAACTGGTTTGATTTTAATATAAAGTTGAGAATATTTTAATACTTACATATATCTGATTTTAAAATATTTTGTTATACCTATATGTATTAATGATATTACGCCAGAGTTTTGTTTGTGTGGCAATTTAAAAGAGGCTGAGGTGTTTACATTGAGAACTACGTTAATTTTTTATTGCGCTGGTTGGGAGGCAGCTTTTAAAGGCTTAGTGTATTATCATTTTCTTTTATTTTTAATTTTCTTTTTTCCTTGAGAATGAAGCATTTTATCAAATTATCGCGAAATATTTTTCCGAATTAAGTTTTTCTGATATTGATTGTTCATGCATAGTCTAATTATAAAAGAATTAAATATTATATTCAGTGAAATTGCTTTTATTGATAAGCATGACATGTTTTCTATCCTAAGATTAGGAAAATATTGTGTAAAATATTTTTTTTTTATGAGATTTATAAATCTTAATCTGTTCGTAAATTTAGATCTGGTCGTAACATGGGTTTTGACAACGGGTCAAATGATTATGACAATTCGCCATATGACACCTACGGTTTATCGAAATCTTTTCTGGATAATCTTGGAATAAATGGACCTTTACATTATAAAATTTTTGTTGCCAATGTGAGTATAAAAACTGTGCTTGTAATTTTTTAACGATATTTTTACTTAGAATGTTATTTTTCACCAGAGTAAAAGTAATTTTATAGATATTTGATTGTAAAAAAAATGGGCTGAGTTGTTTCAATGTGAAATATCTTTTGTTATAGACAAAGGAAAATCTGCAGGAATGATTAGAATATTTAATATTTTTGGTTTTTTTAATTATTAATAATTGTGTTTTAATATTTTTTCCTGAATTTTTGAGAGATTCTTTTCGCAGAGATTTAACTTTTTATATTAAAAATAATATTTATTTTCAGAGATCTTAGAAATGTTTTTGACTAAATTAATTTTTTTGTAACCAACTGGATTGAATAGAGAATTTTATAATTGAATCACAGGATTTGAAAATGGGCAACCGCTTTTGTATTTCTGTGAATTTGGAACGGATTACACAAAAAAATTTTAAATTTCTCATTTTTATGCTTAACTTTTCAGTTTTATATAATTTTCCTGCAAGTTGTTTTCCATAACCTTCGACTTTTTTTTTCCTGTACATATTACAATAAAACTGTAAGAGCGGTTGTAATAAATTGGAATACTTATCTTGTAGAATAATTCCTCCTGCTTAAAATTACATATTTTTCAATTTCATTTCTTTTTATTCTAATTTTCGACATACATATATTGCAGCTGGATTATAAGGTAGATAAAAAGAAACTGAAAGAAGTATTTAAATTGGCTGGCAGAGTTCAAAATGTTGAATTAGCTGTTGATAAGGATGGCAATAGTCGTGGTTTTGCTGTAATTGAATACGACCATCCAGTTGAAGCAGTGCAAGCTATTTCCATGTTTGATCGACAATTACTTTATGATCGGCGCATTACAGTACGTTTGGACCGCATTCCTGATAAAGGAGAAAATATTAAATTACCCGAAGGATTACACGCTGTCGGTATGGGCCTTGGGGCTAATGGTGAACCATTACGCAATGTTGCTCGAAACTTGGCTAATATGAATCAGCAAAATATGCAAAAACAAAATAATATGCAACCACCAAATTCAATGGACATGCCAATGCCGAATACTTCCTTAAATCAAGCTGCATCTATATTATCAGCTGTTACAGGTCAATCTAATGCAAATGTACTAGGTGGATTATCTGCTCCAAATTTGTCGGCATTGACTAATGCTCTGGATGGTGTTAAAAACTTGTCTGTTCTATCAAATCCATTATTGGCCTCAAGCTTATCTAATTTGGGTTTATTAACTGCAAATCAAAGCAATCCTATGCAAGAAAATGCAATTCCACCAGCCCCGGAATCTTCAATGCAAAATAATTACTCAACAAGCAGTTATAGTACATCTTCTGGTTTTAACACCAACAGTGCGCCGAATTATAATACAGATAAAACTGTACGTCCGGAACAGTCATTTAATAACATGATGGATAAAAATAATTTCCCCAACTCATATGGAGCTACCACTAGCCAAATTGGTGGAAGGAAATCTGATACAATTGTTATAAAAAATGTAACTATTAAAATTCGTGATAAATATTTTTAAAATTTATTTCATTAATTTGTTTTTCTTTAGATTCCCTTAAGTTGCACCTGGCAGACATTGCGCGATAAATTCCGTGATATAGGAGAAGTAAGATTTGCTGAAATTCGTGGAAATAATGTTGGAGTTGTCAGATTTTTCAAAGAAAATGACGCTGAGCTTGCTATAAGTAAGTATATATTATTTTCAATATTTACTGAAATGAACAGAAAATATTATTATCTTGTTTTTGTTTTAGAATTGATGGACGGATCACGAATGGAAGGAAGAACAATAAGTGTTTCATACTTTTAAAGCTCAAAGTTCACAGTAAAAATACTATTTATCGTCTTCAGTCAAAATTATAGAAAAAAACAATTTTATTTGTGTCAAAAAAGTTTTAATCACTTATAATTGTTTATTTTTAAACATGATAATACAACCTTTTATTCATTGTAACATTCGATTTGAATTTTATGATCAAATTTAATAATTCCATTAAGACCGAAACATTTATAGCTTAAGAAATGATGTAGTAGTATAAGAACTTTTCACAAAAATAAATTAATTTCAATATTGCAATATTGTACTATTAGGAAAGGCTGAATAAAGAGGAGATGTAATATTATAAAGGGCATGTTGCCGTCTGAAAACTAAAAAATTAAAAATATGTGAGTTTCGGTTTTTATGTCAAAACAATGTATAAGTAAGAATTTAATAAATATAAAATTCAAATAACATTTATTTAAAGTTTTAATTAATTTTAAAAAAAAAAAAACCTTCATTTCATATCCCGTTGATTTCAAAATTATATTTCCGAATTCGTTGAGATTTTCTTGAAATATGGAATATGTTGAACAAAACTTTAGTCAACTGAAAAATGTCTTAAACTTCAACTTTTTCCCTTGCATTCTTTTTTTTTTTAGCTTCTAACTAAGAATAAAAATTAAAGATATTAAGTAAGTTGAAAAGAAAAATTAGGATTATATTTTGCCCAAATCGTTCCTCAACCTATTGTTTCAAGTATGTAAAAGCTCAAAACTTTTTACCTTGGTAAAATTTGAGAATAATTTTTTTCATTGAATTCAATATGTATGTATTTCCTTTTTGTTTTTTAAATAAATATTTAAATTTGTTGTTGCATGTACATGTTATACATATTTTTATGTTCGTATTGGCCTTAGTTTTTGTTTTAAAAACTTTTTGATATATTCGAACTATAATGCAATTTATTTTTAAATATCAGCCGTTAGCTTTTATAAGTTGAAAGCACTGCAGGGCACTCGAGAACTCTATGAAAATCAAAGTGCTGAACGCTTTATTACTTACAGATTTCATATTACTGTATCGTGTATCCATAATATACATAAAATATATAGTACCCACAATATTACATAAAAAGTATTAGTATTAAAGTTCATAACTAATTTTCCTAAATATGTTAGAAATATTTAATTTAATTTACTAATTATTATATAATTTAATTATATATAATCAATTAAAAAACTTTTTAATGTACTAATTCGATCTTTTATTCTATAATCTCTTATATCCTATATGTAATATTAGTACAAATTAACAAAAAGAAGAAAATCTACATAATTTGTTTTAGATATAAGTACATACATATGAAAGGTTTCGATTTTTGATATTATGATTTATTAAATAAAATTTCTATAAGTTTATATTTTATTTCGTCATCCCTTAATTCCACTTATAAAAGTTGTTAAAACGAAAAGATAATTGAGAAAATAAAAAGGAAAATTTACAATCACTCATGTAGCATTGAATTTAAACGTTCCTCAACAGCCACTTTCCTTGATTTCCATACAAATTCACAAACTGCTACAACACATGCAACACCCATTCCACCCATTAATACAACAAAAACACCACCTACATTTGCTAATCCCAGTTCATTAGCAGCTGATGTTGACTTAGATGCTTCAACCTTTTGTGAAAAAAAAATTTAAAAAATGAAGTGTTCATTAAATGTTGAGATTTGGTAATAATAAATAATAGAAAAAAATAGAGTAAAAAAAAAATTTATTGGGCAAATCTGTAAGTAAATACTGAAAAATTCTTTCTCTAAATAACAGGGTTCAAAGGCTAAGTAAGCCTCAAAGTTTTATAATTTTGTAAAAATTTCGAGAATGGTAAATATACGAAGCATGAACTGAACAGAATGATGTGGCGCATTTATTAATTTGCCTTTTAAATTGGAATGAAACAAGAAGTTCTCAGCTAGCAAAAACTGTAGCATATGGACAATTAGAATGTGTGTATGTATGCCCAAGCAATTTAGATAATGTACATACAAAGGCGATACATAATGTACATACATATAACAAAATTTTTTACTAAAGTGTTAGCTGCCTTTCTAGTGCTGTAAGTCCAATTTTTCGATTCTGTGAAAGTCCAGCAAAATCGTAAACACACTTGATTACAGATAAATTTGCACGTACTTACATATTATGTATGTACATACTTTGGATAATGTGCTATGTTGATTATATATTGAAACTTACCCTACAACTCCCTCCTCCACGCTTTTCTTTCCACCAGCGTGTTTTCAAAATGTGTAATTTCCCTTCTTCTTGCAACTTTAATATTACACCATTAATTGCTGTACGATAAGGTGAATCTAAAAATTTAACAATTTTTAAATATTTTAACAAATTGAAATTTTTATTTCGAATATTTTACTTGGGGGAGTTGCAATTCCATATCCTTTAGTATCTAACATATTACCCACTTGTGTTAAATCACAGTTTCTTTCTGTAACATATTCAATAGAGGTTGATTCCATCAGAAAAGCATATGTGCCTATTTAGAGGAAAAAAATTTTTCAACATTTTGCAATTTTAATAATTTTAATAAAAAGTTAATCAAAATGAATATTCTTTAATTTGACCTTTTCCTTTGATGACACGTTCAACACCTTCATAATTACTTGAAGTGAAGACAGATGGTCGAGCTGATTCCATAAATGACCACATTCTTTGATATGTTGATATTTTCGATTCCTATTAATAAAAAAAATTTGAAAATATTTTTCCTTTTTTTAATTTTATTTAATTTTAATCTTATAAGAGATTTGAATAAGTTACTCTGAAAAATGCAGCTGTACTTCCACCTTTAAGTGCACCATATTTTATTCTCGTTTGTTTAGCTAAGTCTTCAGCACTTTCTATTGGTGAATCCATTCGTTCAACCGTAAGAAATGCAGCTAAATTGGCAGTATAAGATGAAATCATAATAAGAGTGAAAAACCACCACATTCCAGCAACCATTCTAGTTGATAGGGCTCTAAATTTAATTTTTTATAATTAAAAATAATTGTAATTTTAAAAAAAAATTGTACTTAGGTAAAAAGTCACAGCCCTGTTGCATTAAAGAACCAATGGCAAACCACATACAATTCAGAAGAGTAAATTGGCTTTCAACTTTTTCTCCATTACTGTATGCTGGCCATTCATAAGGTGTAAATCTATAAAATTTAAATAATTTAACAAAATAATTTCAAATTTTATCTAAAAACTTTAGGAAACTATTTACCTTGCAAGAATAAATAAGAGTACCGACACTCCCAAATAAGCTGTTGCCATATAAATCCAAACATCTAATGATAAAGGTGATAGGAAACTGAAAAGATTTGGTGGCTGTTTAACTGGTTTTCTATATAGTACAGAAACTCCTAAATTCATGAATGGCATTGTAAAGTCAACGGCCTTAAAATAAAAAAATTTTCAAATTATTTGAAAACACGCTTTTTACATCTGAAAACAATTAAATTGTTCGTATAAATTTATATTTACTTGCTCTCTCTGAAATGTTATTGTTAAATCTGCTATTGCCAAATCGGCTCTTTGTTCTAAAAGTTCACGTATCATACCATTCCATTCACTAAAAATTAAAAATTAAATCATTTTAGAACGATTTTAAATAAGAAATGGTTTTTAGACTATATTTTTACCCAGTTTCTCTATTAAATCCTCCATAAGCATTGTCGGGAACTAGTTGAATTTTGTAATTGAATCCTAAAGCTTTAGAAATTTCGTGTATTAAATCAACAACATAACCTTCAAACTGATCGTTGCCTGTTAACGTTTCAGATGATTCTTTTCTCATACAATAAGGATCACTCTATTGCATAAAGTTTAATTGTAATTTAGTTTTTAAATATTGAATTTCGGATAAATTATTTAAATTCTATACTTACTAAAATTGTAGTTACTATTAAAGTTTTATTTTTTAAACTCGCTTCAATTTCTTTTTGTTGATCTCTAAATGATCTGGTAAAATTAACACCGTTCGGTAATGTTGAATTCCATATTCCTACTTTTCGTGTACCATTTGGGCCAAGATCAATTATATCTAAAATGAAATCGGTACGAAATCCCTGATGATCAAATTTTATAACATTTGTTAGGCCCTTCATTTCAACAATTTTCATATAATTTATTAAACTAAAACCATGAGGCCATGTATTTTGGTTTTCACATGATAAGGGTTGTATATCAATCTGTTGACTTGTATCTAAATCATGTAATGCTTTTGAAAATAAATGTACAGCATCAAATATTAAAGCTGTTTCAGCCTAAAATCAATTGTAATTTTATAAATTTTTTTTACATTTAATTAATATATTTCGTTGTTACTTTGATTGATGATAAATTTGTATGCTTTATTACACCATTCTCATTAACAGTCCATTGTTTTACCATTTCTGATACAGCTTTTTCATTTATTAATCTAAAACCAGTTATATTTGTTCCACCATATTTAAATTCATCCAAATTAACTGTATGAAAATCTAATGATGTTATTAAATAACTATGGTAATCGCTCATCATTCCAATTTGTTGTGCCTGTTTCAAAACTTCATAAATTTTTCCAGTTGAACAATCAAGAACTATGTGAGCTTCAGCAGAATTTTTAATTTGCTTTAATAATGGTCTTAAATAGAAGATTGAATTTAATTTACAAATTTTACATTATGAAAATAATTTTATTTACCTATAATCACCATTATCTGACAATTGTCTGACAGTAATTATTAGCGGTGATTGAGCATGAGCTTTCAATAATTCCTGTAATCGAACTAAACCATCATTATTTTCATAAATTATTGTAAATGATTTCCATCCCCAAGCTTTAACAATATCGACATAGGCCTAATTAACAATATATAAATGATAATTTTAATATTACCATATATAAGAACTTTGGTAAAAATTCAAATAAGTATGTACATATGTATGTATATGTACGCATCTACCTTAGATAAAGTATTCGGATGCGGATATAAATTGACTAAACAACTTTCTCTTCTAGGCCGAAAATCCCAACGATTTTCTAAATGTGGAACCTATATAATTAAAGCAAAAAAAAAATAAATTATGTATGTATATAAAATTAATTTTTAAAATTTTTAAAAAATTTAAATAAAAATATTTACCTCCATTGTGTCACATATACTCTGAACATGTCCAGCTGTATGCGCTGATTGTGGTCCGAAAATTGCGGCAACACCAAGGCTCAAAAGATTACATACTAAAATATTGATAAATGAATATTAAATTGTGAATTTCAAACTTCAAAATAATTTGCGAAGCTAAGAAAATATATAAAAAAAAATAAGTGACAATTAAATAGAATCGGCGAACGATATTTCTTCATTCGAGTACAAGTGTTTTACAATTTCGAAAAAAAACTGAACAAAAACTTGTAAATTAATGTTAAAAATTAATATCTTAAATAAAAAATATTATAATTTTTAATAAATTCAAAAATGCTGCAATGCCTACTATACTTTGGAACATATACATATGCACGCCTAATCGTTGAAAAACTTACCTTTTTTCGATGCATGAAAGCTATCATATGGTGAAACTGTTTCAACTTGAGCAACAAGTTTCGATCGTGGTAGTAAAAATCTATCTGAATTTACTTTTTCTACAGCATGTTTAAATGCTAGTTCTTGATAACTACCAGGCTCATGGAATAGGCCGCCTAAAATTAAAAAATCAAAATCAAATGAGTACACCCTGTTTTCATATTAAAATGTTCAATTGTTTTAAATAATGCACTCTTAAATAATGCTCTCTTGTACGAGTATCCGATTCTGCTAACTCATAAGAGTATATTTGCATTTTCATACAAATTCAAATTTAGAAATTTTTACTCCCATCTCCCAGTTTAAAATTCGCAAGACTCTTTTAGAATGTTGTATGAGCTTTTTCAATTGTAAATAAAATATTTATAAATAAAATTTAATAATATATGTTTGTAAGTACAGGATATAAGGAAAGGATTGGTTACAAATTCATAGCTCGTCTTGGGTATTAAATTCTTTACAAATTTCTTATACACATTTATTGCACGTTTTCCCTTTATCCTTTTTTTTATTATTTATTTTTTTTTTGCTTTTTCTTTCATATTTTATGTCCTATCAGTCGTGTAATATTAATGACGTCGGTTTTTTTTGCTTTTACAAGCAATATCATACATGTACACATAATGTTATATTTGTGAGCAAATTGTGCAGGTATATGTATGTAAGCATAATAAGCAGTGTTTCTCAAATTTTTATTTAATATTCGTTCTTGGCATTGTGTTCAATTAATTTTATTAAATATTAATAAATATAATTATTATCAAATAATTCCAATTTAAATAGAATAAGAAAGAAGTATATACAATTATTGGGCGTTCAGCATCCTCTTCTAACCGAATATTTAGTTTTTTTTTTAAAAAATGAGTGTGTGTATAGTAAGAGTATAAATCAATTGTACTTTTTTATATTCAGATAGAATTAGTATATTCTTTTAAGTTGACTTTGCTTTAAAACACTATTTTCGTGTATAGGAAAATTAAAAATTCACTTAATTGAAATTGTGAGACGCAATCTAAATAATGAAAATAATTTCCATTATATTTAATTTTAAAGAACACCACTATTTTATTTCATTATGTATGAATGTTACAGAGCAAAACATATCACGGTTTAAGATCTTATTTTTTTTTATAAAAACAATATTCATGTGCATCAAATTCTCTAACACTATCTCGGAAATTCTTTTTTAAAATATACCGTTGAATAGTTAGATAATCGTTAGGTATCAGTGTATCGCACAGCTGAAAATTTTTGAAGCGATTTATTTTTCTTTTCCAACCCTCTTAACTATAATTGACGGCAAAATAAATTTAACTTCTGCCAAATATAAAAATAAATAAGACAAATAATTGAGTTAATTTTACAATTTTTTTAAATTTTGGAGATTACAATTGTTATATACAAGATTTAATTTTTCTTTTTGTGTTCGCAGACCAGAGAACGCAGACTTTATGCTTATAAACCATAAAGTGTAAGTTTTTTTTTCAAGTTAACTGGTTAGCCTATGTAGAATTCAACATGTTATTACTTTTTATTTGTTTCCTTTATTTTTATTCCAGATATATGGAAATGTTGTCACACTAAGGTAAATATCAAAAATTATTTAATATTCAACCACTATAACTTTTATTACTAAATTATATATTTATTAATATATTAATTTCTTTAAATATATTTAAAATTATGAATATTATTTTTAAGGTTATGTTGATTTATAAAAACAAAAATGCAAATAACGTATTCGACTCCATATATAACGGTATATACGCTCTACTTGTTAGATTTAATTTAAAGTTTGAGAATCACAGAGAGCATATGTGTATTAATTATTATTGTCACAATTTTTTTTTGTTCTTTATTTTTTTTATTATAAAGATTTTTTCTATTAAGAAATCCTTTTTTAACCGATAAAATAAAAGAATTTCTGAATAAGAATCTATTAACTTTGAATATATTGATTAATTCATTTTGTTTTTTTTTTTTCTTCTTATCTACTAAAAATAGTTTTTTTTTGAAAATAGAATTTAACAATGATATTTTAAGCTATAAAATAATAAAGGCGAAAAAATAGCCAAGGTTTCATTATAAAGCCTTGCATTTTTTATTGTTATTTTTTATTGTTTTTTGTATATAAAATTTATGTTCTTTGTAAACTATATGCGGCAATCAAAATTTACTATATTAGTATTATTGGTAACATAGAACATTTTTCAATATTTTTTTTTTAGAGCATATAAATTTCTCCTTTAAAGTATTTTTGTATTAAGGATGCCATTTAAATATTTGAACATTAAAGAGATTAGCTTCAGAATTATTATAGAATTTTTCTGAATTCAATAAATAAATTTAGTTTATAAATCTATAATATTTTATAATATTTTAGGAATCCCTTTTGTTATTTTTTCTCTTTTTCTTGTTCTTGTGGTTTATTATCACATTTCGTATACAAGTATGTGCTTCCTTACCAATTTTGATTACATCAGGCAATGAATGAATACTCAAAAATGTATTCTGATATATTAAATAAAATATACATAATTTAAAAATCATTACAAATTTTAATAATTTTAATATTTTTCCACTAATTTATAATTTATTAACATTAATTTTATTGTAATAAAAATTTAAAAATATAAAAGAATTTTAAATCCTTTTTGTTTTTTTTTTTTTTTATTTTTGTTTTTTTCCAATAATTTTTTCTTCTCGTTACAAATAAGTTGCAATACAACTAGATGGTTACAATAAAACTGAGCTAAGATTATTTTTCAGCAGATGCTGAAAAGATGCCAAAAACTTCAAAAAAAAAGGGAAAACAAGAAAAACATTGAGAAAAAATAAAAGAAACATAAAAAAACAGATTCAATTGAAGAAAATTTTTTCTCCTTAAAAAATTTTGTTTTTGTGATAGTAATAATTTTGAAATTGTGTGAACATGCGCAAAAATGCAAAGCATCAGCTTGCATATTAAGAAAAAAATAAAAATAATGAACGAATAAAAATAATAAAAAGAAATAACAAGAAAAAAAAAAGAAAATTTTTTTATCAACCGCTTATCATGTGTATTTAAAATCAAAGTTAAAATATAAACAAAACAAATACGGGGAAAAAATTAAAAAAAAAAAAACAAACACAATACAAAACAAGGAAAATTTAAATTTTTACACAATTCTACCATAAGCTCTTTTAATTAAATAAAACTTGGTAAACTATATACGCCAGTAATTACACTTTAATTTATTAACCTACAACTTAAGGAGTTTTCATTTTGATAATGTATTTAAATAAGTTATAGCATTTACATCCTAGATTCAAGTATCGAAATTGGAAATCAGGAAATTATTTCTTATTCTTCAAGTGCAATCTCTTATATGAGAAATAGCATTAAGTATAAGTGACAAACGATTCAATAAGAACTACACAATTAAATAATAATCAACTGTTAAAATTAACTGTTGTTATAAATACACCCCTCCAATTGAAAAGCAATACAATAGAAGATGTGCTACCACTCAATTACTTGGGCAAAATTGTAGCAAATGATGAAGGTACAAAAAAAGATATTAAACACATATTGCCTAAGATAAAATCAATATTCAACAGACTGTGCCGAATCTGTAGGTCAAGTTTTGTGCCAGAAGCACAAAAATCAAAGTATTCAACACCTGTCTAAAATCAACATTACTATATGGTTGTGAAACATGATTGACAATTAAGTGTGTGAGGATAACATGCAAAGTATTCCGACCCATGACAATAACAAATAAAGAACTTTGGAACAGCAACCAATATATATAACAAAATATTTTTTTCTTGCGTGACAAAACGCAAAAGTCTATCTCCCAAAAAATATACAACATACAAAATATGCATAACAGGCAGGCATGTTTAAACCGATCCAGTTAGGTGTCCTACTCAACTATTATTTTACTGATTGTTTTAATATTTTTTTTCCTCATCCCAGATATATGCAATTAGAGGACGATATAAGATCCAATAAAAGAGTATTCAGGCAAGCAGAATCCAGAAAATAATTTATTTTTGATTCATCAAATTTTTTTTTTAACTTTTAATTTAACTCAGTGCATCCAGTGTAAATTTTCATTCAAACCCATTAAATATTGGAAATAACATACAGCAAAGTATGATCGGCTTATAATATGTTTTAAATTTTCCAAACTCTTTTACCATTTTAAATTTCAGCCATGATATTATATTAATTCAGTTTTATGTCGTAACTGCATAAAAAATAATTTAAAGCTCAATTTAATTATTCATTTAAAAAATTTATTTAAACAAAATTATACTCTATGGTTAGTTTGTGTAACTATTATATGTAAATATATAAAAGTTTCTTTTACTCTCTTTATTTTTAATCTTTATACTTTTAGCATTTAATTTTTCAGGATAAAAAGAAGAAGAAATTCCATAGTAATCTGGATAAACCTTTTTTTTTTAAATTTTTTTTTATTTTTATATCCGTATATGCTTTTGCCTTTTAAATAATGAAAACGGCTTACAAACGTAATAAACCACATTTATACTTTAATGTTTTAAGCATCAGATTTATGTTAAGTGCATATACAGAGAAAGAAAGTGAGTAAAAGAGAGAGAGCGCGTATATTAAACTTGACAAATGAATAAAAAAAAATAATAATTATTAAAGTAAAAAAGTAATAATAAAAAGAGAAGAGAAAAAAAATTTTTTTTTTTTTAAACCCCTACAATTTTAATAACTCTTGAGTTGCTTTTTAAGCTTTATAAAGTCATTTAAGAATGGTTATACCGTTATACGTTTTCCTTTTTTATTGTTTTTTTTTTAATATTGTAGTTGAAAAGGTTCAAATGAAAACAAAAAAATTTTCTTTAATATTTATTTTTAATTTTTTTGGTTTTTTTTTCCGTTTTTGGTAACCTTTTTTTCTTTATTTATAATTTGGAAAAAAAGAAAAATATTAAGAGTTAAAAATTAAGAGAACATTTATAACAGTTGAGAGTCTAGTATATTTAATATGGAATAATAAAGGATAAGTAATTTAAGTAATCTTTAAAGATATTTTTTTGTCTCATGAAAAAGAAGAGTTAAGCTTTAAGGTTATGTAAATACAAAAAGTATACGAAATGTAAACGTATTTATGTGGTATATATGGATATATATATATATTGTATATATAGGTATTTGTACATATGTGTATAACATAAACTTTTACTCTAGTTAGTCGCAGATTTCAATTTTCTTATTCTGGTTTTTGTTTTTTTTTTTCCATTGTTAAAATTTAATTCAGCATATGTTTTCTATGTGTTTCATATATTTTTTTAAAGAGTATTTTTAATTTTTTTACTTTGAAACCAACATATATATTTGTGTATGTTAGTATATGCAGATTATAAATGTTTATATGCAATCCTTCAATGCATTATTTATATATATTCACATTTATATATATCGGGATATAATAGGCTTGCCGCATCAAATCTTAGTATTAAAAGATAATACAAAAATTTAAAATATATAAACTCATGTATAATAATACAGTGGGACATCTATTATTCGAAGTCCCGCGGGAACGTTAAAACAGTTCGAGTTATGGAGATTTCGAGCTGAAGAGAGAAAAAAAACTATGCCAATGTTCAAGGGAACTCATATGGTTTCGAAGTAAGGAAATTTTCGAGTTGTAGAGGTTCGAGTTGTGGAGATTCCACTGTGTATATGAACTGGATTCAAATCATTCGTATATGAATAAAGAGTTGATAAAAAATGTGCTCATTTTTTGTTAAAGATGTTAAACTCTTATACTCAAATGGATTTTGCTGATAACCCGGGCATTTCTTTTCAACAAAATTCTTACTCACGTTTACTTTTGAAATTTATGGAAAGCGGAACATATACATATATTTTTTTTAATTCGGCTCTAAAATTTGGCAGAATTTTAATTTTCGAGCTTTTTTTGAAAATATAAGCGTTACTGAATTTCAAAGTAAAAGCATAAATAACAGCAAATTTAATTTCTCTCAGATTTCTTTTAATTTTTTTCTCTTCCTAAAATTATGCAGTAATCGAATATTATTTTCTTTCACAAAAAAAAAAAAAATGTTTTCACTGAAAAATTTACTGTAATACAAATTATTGGTATTATCAGAATTTATTTAATACAATATTTATTTATTTTAACTACTCTAAGTTAAATTATATGTTAGATGAAGCCCGAAACGCAGATGACAGAGTTTATTACAATGATGAGGGATTGAGTTGACTTTAAAACGCACTATAAATATAGATAAAATTCACTTTTTATACTATTGAGCATCGACCACCCACTAAACATACACATATACATAATAACAGGCATATTACCCACATAACGTATGGGGAGATAAATGGTGATGGTTTTTCGTTAACCCTAATTAGAAACACAAACTATGTGATAAAAATGAAATAATAAAATAAGGTAACCCTTAAAATTTTTGAGTTGAAAACATATAAAATTAAAACTGTTATATTTATATGTGTATGCTCATAATAACTGCAAAGGTATAAAAAAAAGGTATACATTTTTTAAAAAAATATATAAAAGATTAATAAAATGGTATATTTTTTTTTTTTTTCGTTTTGTCTTAAAAAGAAATATTTGCATTTCAAATACTTTTTTAATACAAAACAATGATTTTTATGTTGTACATATATAAATGTATATATACATGTATGTACAACCATAGTATTTATACACAAACGCATATAATGTAAAATGTATAATTTAGAAAATAGAGAGAGTGTCGAAGCGTGAAAATTTTCAATAGAAATGCAATGATTTTTATATTTGTTTAACAAAGCAACAATATTGAAAATTTTCTATTCATGAATTTAATCTCAATTTAGTTTAAATTGCGTATAATATCTATTATTATACATAATAAACAAATGTATATACAGTGAGAGTCGTTTACGAACACTCAAAAACTTGTATGATTTTCGTTATTTATATTCGATTTCTAGCGGCGAAATGTCAGAATTTATATATAAAACATATAATTAAATGGGACTGCCCAGAGTCAAGTCAAATTACAGCTGCAAATTTAATCGCCGGCGATAACATTCCAAAAATAACTATTTAACCGCTTGCTGTTTTTTTTGACCTCTCATCTGTTTCCATGTTTGTATGACATTATATGCAAAATAGTGTACAGTAAATTTTGCTGTTCTGCTATTGTTCTGAGTTAACAATCGGAATCGTTAGCTGTTTCTGTCCGCTTCTGTTGTGTTTTTACAATAAATGCGGAAAATTTATTTTATATTTATGTAAGACTTTTGGGTATATTGGGAAAAAGAAAAAAGAAGAGTGAATTAAACCAATTTTCCTTTGGACTACTGTACAGACAATTTGCTTTTATGCGAGTTGCTTATACACGAGGTCGAATGTATAAAATGTAATAAAAATTAAAAAAAAGAAACTATTTTAATTTTCAGTAAATTTTTTTACAAAAAAATCTTTGAAGCATCTCAATAAAATATATTGTATTATATAATAAATTCTCTCTCTTATATAAAAAAATTAGAGAAGCAATGCTCTCTATTTTCAAAAAAACGCTCCATTCATACATGATTAAATTAAGTGTATGCAAATGTGTATGAATAATTTTGATAAGGTATTAACTTGACTGACTGACAGAGAACATTTATATATGTTATACTCTATA